CCCCACCCTCCCCCCAGCACCCAGGTGTGCCCCACCTGTGCCAGGTGAACTCGTCCCCCTCCTCCTGTACCCAGGTGTGCCCCACCTGTGCCAGGTAAACTCGTCCCCCCCCCCCCCCCGGTCTGTACCACCCCCCCCCACCCCCAGATGTGCCCCAGGTGTGCCAGGTGAGCCTCACCTGTGCCAGCAGGGCCTGTGTGAAGGGCAGAGCTGCCGCCAGCAGCGACCGACGCTCCGGCACCGGCTCGGCCGCCGCCACCTCCCGCGGGCTGATGATGTCCCAGTCTTCCAGCAGCGGGCCTGGCACGGGGACAGGGCACCTGAGACCCCACCTGGGCACCCACCTGGGCACCTGGGACATCCACCTGGCACCTGGGACCACCCTGAGACCCCCCTGAGCCACCCCAACCTCCCGCGGGCTGATGATGTCCCAGTGCTCCAGCAGCGGGCCTGGCACGGGGACAGGATACCTGAGACCCCACCTGGGCATCTGGGACATCCACCTGGCACCTGGGACCACCCCCAGACACCTGGGACCCCCCTGAGCCACCCCAACCTCCCGGAGGCTGATGATGTCCTAATGTAATAGCAGCGGGCCTGGCACAGGGACAGGGCACCTGAGACCCCACCTGGGCACCCACCTGGGCACCTGGGACCCATCCAGGCAACTGAGACTAGGTGTGTGCCTCAGGTGTGTCCCAGGTGTGTCCCAGGTGTGTTTTACCTCCCCCCCCAGGTGTGTCTCAGGTGTGTGTTTTCCCCCCCAGCTGTGTCCCAAGTGCCCCCCAGGTGTGTCACTCACTCTCAGGGGGGTTCCTCACGACCAGGTACAGCCTCAGGGCGGGCCTGGCTCAGGTAAAGGTGTGTGTTCTACCCCCCCAGGTGTGTTTCCCACCCCCCAGGTGCCCCCCAGGTGTGTCACTCACTCTCAGGGGGGTTCCTGACGTCCAGGCGCAGTCTCAGGATGGGCCTGGCCCAGGTAAAAGCCGTCACCAGGTCACTGTCGCTCAACAAGGGCACAAAGGTGTCCTGGCCCTGCCCGTCCCGGGCAGCAAAACTCAGCGAGAAGCTTTTCTTCCTGGGGGAGGGGGGCAAAAGGGGGGGGTCACCTGGGGGGTCCCAGGTGTGTCCAAGGGGGTCCCAGGTGTGCTTGGGATCATCCCAAGCGTGGCTGGGGGGGGGTGGGGGGGGGATAGGTGTGTGACTGGGGGGGCCAGGGGGGTGCTAGATCGGAAGAGCGTCGTCCCGGA